GTCAAAACAAGATTTCACCTACTGCACACATTTCAAACACCGGCCTACTTGCAACACTTGATGTAGCTGCAAACTGAGAGCAAAAGTTGTCAGAGCTGGATTCGCCGGGATGCCTGGCTGATTGTACTGGAGTTGCATCAGATTCAGCATCCTACGTTCACTGCTGCTCGGGTGGAGGGCTATCCTGCAGAGTTTAACGACAACCCTAATCTAAACTGAGCTGGCTAATCAAGGAATTCAGGTGCAGGTAAATATCACTGCCAGCCAGGCTAGGCTAAGGGCGGCAAATAAAAGGGCAGATTTGGGGGGTGAGTCATTTTTTGGCCTCCATTATTTCAGTGACACACCCATCTTTCCAATGAAATGGAGAGGAACGTGACGGAGAGGAAGATTTCAGGCTAAAAATTTGAATTAATGTTCTCTGTGTCTTTTGTGTGAAGGGTGCATGTTGCGCTTACCCACGTCAAGGATGGAGAAAACAAATTATTAATATTAAAGAAAAGCAAAGCTTTTGCTCAGCTCCTCTAAAGACTTAACCGATATGTACAGTGATTTTTTTTTTTGCTAGTGTGATGGAGTGAAAGCAAAACACTAGGAAACATAAATCACGACATTATACTTAACCTTTTATATTAAATTGATACGAAGAATTTATAACATAATGTTGAAATATGTAACTGGAATCTCACACACACACTCACACACTATCTAAGCAACTTATCCTTCTGGGTCGTGGGTCACTCACTGGGTGAAAGGCAGGAAACACCCTGGACAGGCCACCAGTCCATCCCAGGGTGACACACAGAGTAACTGGAACCAGAGAGGCCTGCATTTTGAAGTGAAATGAATTAATTACAATCGCTTTAGTAAACTATAATTTTTTTTTAATAATCAGATTTTTAATGATGCTCAAGTCAGGTGACCATGGAGACGATCCCTAAAGCTTCAGCTCATAGTTCGTGGTGGATTTTGAAGAAGACAGACTTTTTCAGCTTCAGTTTCTTGACAGATTGTGTCTCATCTGCTTCTAGAATTTGCTGATATTTATTGGAATCCCTTTTTCCATCTTCCTGTGCCACTGGCTGCCACACAACCCTGAAGCTTGATAGAGCCACCATATGCTTAACAGTTGGCAAGGTGTTCTTATCATCACATGCTGCAGCTTTGTATATTTTAAAGCACACGTGTCAGACTCCAGCCAACACGGGTCAAAACACTGCAGACTTCAGCACACTGGCAGAGCTGGTGTATGAGGAATCTGGCATCTTTCTCCTGTTTTCCCCTGTTATATCAAAAACATGACTGCAAAACACCAGATGACTCCTGTGAGGGAGCTCTCAATGAATGGGAGTGTATGGAGCAGGTGTGTGGTTGGCTCTGGGAACGAGGATGAAGTTTGAAATTACCTGTCTGCTGCCTTCTAACAGCACAGCGCCTGTAGCTGAGAATGAGCATCAGTTGGTTATAGAGCACAACGTTATTTAGGGTGTTACTCGCTCTGCCTGCTCAGTTATCCACTGATGCAGCCGTCAGCTAAAAACGAAAACTTAAAACAGTTTCTAATCAGCAAACCCAGAACTTTCCTTTAATTTCAGAAAGCAGGTGGATGTATTTCACTAAAAAAAGGAGAGAAAACTCACCTGTATGTTTCCTTTTTTCTACAGCTGATGGGTTTTGGGCCGTAGGATGCTGGACGCAAGATCCAGGATTACTGCTACTGAGCGCTGATTGGTTGGCATTACTGCGACTGTGTTCTGATTGGTTGGCGAGCGGAGCAGCTCATTGGTTGTTTGCGCTCACTGACGTCATGAACGTACATGAGGCGCCGTTTTAAACTCCTATAACTCGAGTTTAAAAGCTCTTACAAATATAACAGCACTGTTAAAGTGTTTTATGCTGTTCAGTGTTCAGGAAATTAATGTATTGTTTTACATTAAAACTCTTTAAACATTTATAAACTGTTTTTGCTCAAATGCTCCATCTTAACCATTTAATTCGGGAGCGCCCTCTAGCGTTTGAGAAACCCAGAAGATCCTCTCTACAAGTTCTGACACTGCATCATTAAACACACCTGATTCAGCTCATCAGATAATTAAGCAAAGCCTTCATGAACTGAATTCAGAGCTTAGATGAGGGTAAACGCTGATCTCTGCAGCACTTTGGCCCAGAAGGTCCCCGGTTTGACACGCCTGTTTTAAAGCAAAGTCTCTCTTATCTGTCCTGTTGGCTTTAAGGAAAACGGCAGTATTTTTTAACCTAATATGTATCTGACACAGTTATAGCACATATAACAGTTTAAACACACTTTCCTGCAGTAAAATAACAAAGGAAGCAAGTTGAGTCACTTAAAATGCACCTCAGGTTTTCTGTTCTCTATTAAGTAAAAAGAAAAGACTGACTTCATTCTACAGATACAGATTATTCCTAGATTATTCTTTTATCTTGCCGAGAAATTCTTCACGAAATACTTCCCACGAGTGTGTACCATCTCCATTTGTAACCACTTATTGACCAACAGGTGGCACTACACTCCCAGTATCCTGAGAGGAACCCCTTAATACAGATGGTAAGCCAGAGTAAAGCTACCAGTTTTTAAGGTGGCAAAATGTTAACGTTTATGCTCAAACTTAGTTTGTCAGTAAAAGTGTGCTGTTTACAATGAATTGTGCATTGAAGTACGCTTAAAAATGCAATCACAGTAAGGCTAAATCAACAGCACCACCTGCATTCTCTTATGATGTAACACTGCTTTATTAATCTAGCTGATGGATTATGATGCTTCTTGTTCATTTGCTTACATTTTGTTTTTGCCCATGATCTGCATTTATCTTCTGTCAGTGTGTGTTGCTGTGCTATTATGTAAAGCACTGCGATTTATAGCTGCTTATACAAAAGGTATAAATAAAGATGTAAGTGTGGAATAAGACAGCTGAAGAATACAGAGGTAAAAGCAAAGGATGTGGAAACTCTTTATTATCAAACTTACGTCTGCACCAGCACAAGGTAGACAGCAGCCACTCTCAGACTCACAGCCACATTTCGCACATATTCCCCGTAGCCTGATAAAGATGCATTGCTATATTACAGTCCTTGTAGCTCCATCCTCCCTGAAAAAGCTCATCTTAATACACCTACAACAGTATCATACATTCGCACTTACGCCATCATAGAAAAACAAAGGAATAAACAAAAACAGACAGGAAGCTGCACGTGCAGGGATCAGAGGGGCATGCGGTTGCCCTCGACGCTGATCTTTACCGCATGACCCGGCTTTGTTAGGCGTCGGATGTCGGCGAAGCGTCGCATCTGTTTATCTACACGTGATAAACTCTTCCTCACAGGACCCTGTGACAGAGAAGGAAAAAAAGAGGAGGAAAATAAGAAGAAGGAAGAAACACAAGGACTATAAATGAGATATAGTTGAGCAACAACAGCAGCACAATCACACCAGGAGATACAGCCAGAAATAGTATGATATATTCCAATTTGTCATACATGTACATGAGTGTATATCATCGCTGTTGAAACAAAACCTTGGTAACTTCACAGGTGAAGCAAAAAGCCCTTCTTAACTTTGAATGGAAGTTATTAGAAAAGGTTATTTTTAGGTTATTTCTACTGCATGACATTTTAAAACAATGTAAAATAAGGGCTCCCGAGTGGCGCAACCGTCTAAGCGTTGGCCCTATCATCAGGAGATTGCGAGTTCGATCCCTGGTGATGCTACAGCCGTCCGTAGCCGGGAGTCCAAGAGAGCACAATTGGCCTCGCTCTCTCTGGGTGGGTGGGATGGCCCCTCCTTCTCCCCCCATCACTCAGCGCGATGCTAGTCAGCGCAGGCGTCTGTTAGCTGACGTAACAGATCTGGCGGTTGGCGCTTTCCTCCGAGCGCGTTCGGCTGTCCAGTGACGTTGCGTGAGCGGCAGCTCGAAAAGAAGCGGTGGTTGGCTTCACAGGTCTTGGAGGAAGCCTGTGTTAGCCTTCACCCTCCTAGCGTTGATAGCATTGTGTGATTGGGGGAGTCCTAACTAGCGGGTGGAATTGGAGACGACTAAATTGGGGAGAAAATCGGGTAAAAATAAATGTAAAAAAAATAAAATTAAAAAAAAAATAAAATAAAATAAAAGGAGATGAAAGGTTTGACCCGACAGTGGTGATATACTCTCAGGTGTTTAAGACAATCTATACTGAATATTCACAACTCGCATGCCTGTGTCACAGCAGCAGTTCACATGTGTCACAGTGCCTAATGAATGTGCAAGTTAGCCTTACAGCACTTACTGCACAGCAAAGTTGAGCATATAAAGTCATGCTGTAAATATTCAGCTAAGTTTATTCAATGTAGGAATGCACAAACTTTTTTTTTCTGTTTTTTTTATTCGATTTTAACTATTTTAATTAATCAGCCAGTCATATTGCTGCTGTCACATTAAACTATTCTCCCTTTTTATTTATTTGAATACATGCCCAACTTGAATATTTGTATTGCATGAACACTTGATGATCAATGGACCAACAGAAATGGTCCAAAATAGCATGAAATAAAATCTCGCATCAAAGTTTTGACACTGACAGTGTACATTTCCTAATATACAGTGAGTCTGAGTAGCAGTTTGAATTTGGAAGAAAACAAAATGCTTGTTTTAGCTGCTCTGCTTCACATTTAATTTAAAGCCCATATGAATACTACATAAGAACTAAATGCTAGGAATCCAACGTTTGCCTGCCAGTTACATCCTAACATCTATATCTCTTCTCTTATGAATACAATACACAATAAATGAACAGACTGCTGCATTACTCTATGAGAAAGTCTCCTCTTTCCACTGTTCTTGAGCCAGTGTACATGCAAACACACAAAGATGTATGACACGCATTAGCATGGCTATCTGATGGTTGCGTTAGCAGATAACTATGAGCAGGTAGAGCAAGTGATGGGTTCTATAACCAACTGATGCTCATTCTCATAGCTACGGTCGCTGTGCTGTTAGAATGCAGCAGATATGTTTCAACCTCATTCCCACAGCCAACCACACACCTGCTTTTTAAATACACACACAAAACCCATTAAAGTTTGGGATGTAACTGGACAGCAGTGCTTAAACAGGTTTTTCCAGCTCCAGTCCTGAAGGGCCAAACCACTCCACCCTTTGGAGTTGACCTAAATCAGACACTATTTGAAAAAGAATCTGATTAAGGTGTTTTAAAACAGACCATATCCTGCAAGTTTCCCTTATCATTTCTTACAGAATCTTCAAAAGAGCCCTTCAAAGCAAGGAGGACACCTAAAATGTGCACTGCTGTGGTCTTCATGCCTCGTGACAAAACAAAAAGGGGTCCTACATCCCTGAGTGCATTAGTAAGGGTGGTGCTCTCTTCCTCTGCCACACTGCACACAGTGCATCATGCAGCACACTGCCACTTACTGCCCCCCGCAGGGCGCTGTGTGAGCTACAGGGGCATGCGGTTTCCCTCCACGCTGATTTTCACAGCTCCCTGCACCCGTCGCTGCTTCCTCTGCTCAGCAAAGCGCCGCTTGTGCTTCTCCAGACGACTGATGCCTCTTTTATAGCCTCTCTAATAATTAGACCAAACCGCCTGATCAACGCGCCTCCGTAAATCCCCTCTAAAAATCAGATCATTTTAAAGACCCCCTAGCAAAACAGCTAAAACTAGTATAAAATCAAAACAATACAGAAGATGCGAGTAAACTAACACTAATGCACTAACAAACACTGTCCAAAGCCATAATGAACTACATACATAAATGCCAGTTAAATTAACTGCAAGCAATCCACATGGTATGAATAAAAAAACCCATTCCAAGGCTAATGTATCTAAGGCTAAGGTCTAGGCTAAAATTCAAAACTCATTCAAATTCATAACCAAAACTAAAATTTTACTCTCTAAATGTCTGTGAAAGCTGTCCATCACCCTGGTGAATTACTACTACCAGTCTTTCTCTGAAGAGGAAACACCTGAGGGCTTACAGGCAGCCCACCACACATACCCTACATATTACTTCATTTTAAATAATTTAAAGCAAAAGATAAAAAAAATAAATAAAAATGTGTGTTAAAATGATGAAATCTACTTTACAGTCTAACTACACCAAAATTTCCATCATCTGTCACTGAACTATACAATCTCAGCTGATCCTCCTGAACAGCTACCCAAAGCCCCTCCAACTAACCCGGTTGGAGTCGGACTCCACATTCCATTTGGGCCGCACAACGTAGTCCTTATTGGAGGGCATGGGCACACGTGCCCGCGCACAAAACCCAGGGTCACCGGGCCGCAAAGCTCTGAGAAGGAGAGACAGAGAGAGAAATTAATTAGGCTTTGACTTAAGACAGATATTTAAATGACAGACTATTTGTTGTTTGCTTTGAGTGACTTTATGCCTTAATTATGCTTATTTTATTAAAATAAATGACTTAGCATTCCACTTTATCATTGAAAAATCATATCACTACTGAAACTTTACCAAATGTATCGGTAAAAATTTTAGCTGGCTTTGCGCAGAACTTGAAGTCAGTACATCTCTCGCAAACTTAACTGCAGAAAATGTGTTTCGGTAGCAACAGTTAAAGTAATACACTGATTTTCCGTCTTTTGCGACACGTTTACTCTAAAATGATTGAATCCAACAGCTCACAGTGTGGCCATAACAGGCAGGGACGCAGCCTCACTCCCTGCACTAAGGTGTAGGGGTGTGGCTACAACAAGGCTCCGCCTACAGACTAAAACTATTTGCTATTTGACATTTCACCTTCTTTTATTTTATGCATATGTTGCACTGCACTTCTATGATTGTGACTTTGTGTGTGTGAACACAAGAATCAAACTCACTTCTCTTCTCCGGTCAACACCTTCTCCAGATCTCTCCGAGGAGTCTGTCCCCCTGAACTGTAGACACAACAAATAGTTTAGCATCCAATTAGTCTGACCAGCAAACACTCACATGACATGCTTTCCTCAAAAAAAGTACCACATTACACTCCCACTGGAGTAGATCAGCTCTGTCTGGCATTCCGTGGATCCATTTGGTTGCCCTAGTTCCCACTGGCCTGCTAAAACTCACTGAACCCCAAACTGACAAGCTTTTCCACAATTTCACAGCAAAGTTTTCCATTGTTTCCTGTCGAAATACTTTTAAAGATTTTGGCCAGATTTTGTGGCATCCATGATTGTCTTGCCTCATCAATGCTGCTTTAATTGTAACAATTCTAAGTATATATAATAGATACTATTAATAATTTTGCAATTCTTGCATTAGTTTATTTCATACAATTTTTATATATTAAGCCAGACTCACATAGAAATAAGGCTCAATATCAAAACGCAAGATTTTTATGATACTGAACAATTAACTCCAATGCTATCTCAATGTTCTCAAACTGTTAATATCTAAACAGCCAGTCAGCCAATAAGCATGCATATTTCAGAATACAGACTACTGACTGGCTGTCTACATTATGCTGTAATAATGAAGTTAATTTGTCTTTGTCACCTTATTTACATTAGCTTTATTATATTTATCTAAAAACCCTAAAAACTCATGGAATTGTTTAGAAATTGGTCAGAGTGGCCATAACATATTACAGCCGCTGCAAGGCCAATACTGCTATATCTTGGAGCCCTGCAGAAGAGGCACAGGCAGCAGAGATGGTGATAAATACCTGCTAGTGACAATTAATATTTACAAATTATTTACAGCTTTTTAACACTTATGCAAGGAAAATCTTCATTAGTACACAGGATGATGCGGTAAACAGCAGTTTCAACAGAGAAGAAGCTGTGAGAAATGGACCAGCTGAGTAGATGCAGGAAAGCTGAGGTAAGGGTTAGAGGTAAGAGATCACGGACTACATCACATCTCACAACATCAGCACTGATCTAGGATAAATTTCATTCAACACATTCTCATTAAGTGATAACTTAATTAAGAGCAGAGATGATCCCTTTAGTCTAGATCCACCTTCTACAAGCAGATTTGCAGGGGTGCCCAAACGTTTGCATGATTGCACCTGCATAATTTTGAAACTCTTGTTTGCGGCTCAGGATACTGATCATATTCTCTGTGGGATTCATGTGAGTTTCATGAGCGTTTTCTGTGCATTCAGAGGTTTAAACTGGACAAGCATGAGTGGGGCCACATAAATGAACAGTTTTACAATGATTCGTACCAATCGAGGGAACCGACAGTGCACACTACTCGGCAAAACAATGGGCCAAGCCTAAAATGGCAAAACATTAAGATTTTAATGGTCTTAACAATGAATCATTATCTATTTTGTTGAAAGTTTTGTGTGCAAACCTCAAAGTCTTTTACAGAGAGAGTCGGTATTTTTCTACTCAGCACTGACAGATTCAAACAGTTGAAAAAACACTGCTCAGCTAGTTTGTGTTTAATGTGAGACCAAATATTCTTTACAGGGTTTAAATTTGGACTCTGACCAACCAAAACCAGCAGTGAAAACCATTATATTTTGGGCTTGGCCCAATTTTTTGCCCTCAAGTGTAGTATCCACGAAATCTGCCCACTTTAAAATTGCAAAGCAGTGCATTTAATTTTGGATTACATGGATCAGAAAAAGGTAGATCGTTTATTTGTATTTCTTTGACTATGATACGTTTCTCTATTCATGCAACATAATGGGTACGACAATACTTTTTAATAAAGGCTATATATGAGGGGTAGAGGTGAGTTTTACACCATGACAGACTAGTAAAAGAGCGCAAAAAGAGCGATTAACCCAAAGAGCGCAATTTTCAAATCGCACAAGCTGCAATTTTTATTTTAGTCTTACAGTCTTATCAACAACAATGATACGCAAGTTACTATGCAAATGTTGATAAACAAGTTTTAAGCAGGGAAATTTTACCTAATAACATGGAGCTTATGAACAGCTGTGGCATCACAACCACAAATAACTGGCAGGCTGGCACACTTAAGAGTCTCAAGCCAGAAAATGCATACGCCGGTCTTCTTAAAAAAAAAAACAAGCCCATACCACAATTTATACCTTGGTTATAAACAAAATTCCAGACCTTGTAAAAACTATTTCTATGTAGTGAATCGCTTTGTTCATTCTTTCCACTGAAAATCCTCAAGGACTCAATGCTGTACTAAAATGCTGTGAAAATGCCCTAGCCTGCCACAGAGAGATTGCAACTGACCAATCAGCTTTGAGCACGGACAGAATACTTCAAAAAGTACAAAACCTGTTCCTCCGAGACCCTGGATCTTGTTCAGCGTCACACACGCGCTCTAAAACGATTAAACCTGAAGAGCGCTGCCGTGCAGAGCACACAGGGCAATCATGCACATTCCCACACACACTCGAAACCTGAGCGGCCCAAAGACGTCGGGTTCCTCGGCCCTCTCAACCCTCTGAGGCTCACTTCAGCATGTGTGTGTGTGTGTTGGTGTGTGTTGGTGTGGGTGGGGGGAAAGGGTAAGAGGAACAAACACAGTAGTTGAAATACAACATGAAACATAAAAAATGTAAAATATGGAGAAGCAACTACAGCGAAGGAAAGCATGAAATATTAGAGATAGAGAAACGTTTTACAGACATCTTAGGGGTGCACGATCAGAATCGGCCAAGATTAAACACGGACAGTTTTTGCTCCAAACTTGTGATCGTGTCGTAATAAACTGGTCAATTTATTATTTTCATTTTACTTGACCTACGTTGCAATTTTATGAGGTTAGTAACATCAGGCAGGTAAGTGCACTCGCAGTGTATCTGATGGTGCTGCTATACCTTGACCAAAATGTTGTAGCATAATCATAGATAGCCTATCATGCTAAATAGCCGACTGTCTCCTACTTTCAGTGTAGCAATTTATTTGACTCTCATTATGTAAACAGGCAACTGACTGTTTGATTGAAACTTAAAATGCAAGTCCAGCTCATTAAAGAGCAAATAATGTTCTTTACACTGCAACTTTGGGGAATGGAAAGTAAATGTGCAATTTGGCTGCAATGAAATCAAAATCGGAACTGGCCTTAAAAATTCATGACTGTTGCACCTCTAATTGGCTCCTAACACACATTCATTGGCCACTTCATTAGGAACCCCTCCCTTGTAGCTCCATCTTCCTTGTGCACAGTAAGAGAGTGGAGCTCATCTGTTGATGCACTTTGTGTCAGCCTTCTGCTAGCCCAGGGGACGGGCAACATGCGACTCTTCTACTGTTCTGTTGCAGCTCCACAGCAGAATAAATAAATAAATAAATAAAATATCCTGCTTTGCAGTAAAATAAAGCTCTGCTGATCGTTCTAACACAGTTTTAACAATAACTCTGGAATTAATGAATAACTGCTAATTCACCAACCTTTGACCCTGCTGACTGGTCCGCAGATTGCTGGTCACAGCAACGCAGACAGCAATCTCACCTAGCTAGCAGCTAACGAAAAGGCAAAAAGAAAGATTTAAAAATGAACATTGATAATTTGGAGATGAATGGACTTATCTGCGTTTATAATCACTCCAGCTGGTTTCCCTGATACGTTAAATCTGCAACAAAAAACTGTCAAACACTAAAAAGTTGCATGGCTGAAGTTAGCTTCTCGCTCACCAGCTTCTTGTTCTAATTCTCCCATTCCACCTTAAATAGTGCAGCAGTTACATTAATTTAAGGTGGAACGGGAAAAAATCGAACAAGATGGCAAATCAGAGACTTCAGCCTCGTGAAAGTCGAACATGGAGAGACGTTTTACAGGAAACTACTGTACTTTTGCGGAAAGGTTTCCTGTCAGAGATGCGAGAAAAGCGGCTATAGCTGAGCTAAAGCTTAAAGCAGAGCAAAGTAAGTCTGTGTTTTCCTTTATGTTACACTTTACTATACTTAGTCTATACTAGGACATTCGCACATACTGAGACATATTTACAGCCAAGATGGTAAAACGTTACTTCATTAAAACGGACATAACATGTTGCCAAGGTGGTTTGATTTTTGTTGAAAGGACAAAATGACTCTTCTTAACATTTGTGCTGCTGACCCCTGCTCTTACCTCTAGGTCAGTTTTTGACCAGAACCGCTCTTGGCTTGATACATTTGTACGGGGCGCCACACACACTACCACATCAGAGTCACCACAGTGCTGAGAATGAACTACCACCTAAATAATATCTGGTCAACAACAGCCCTGTGGTCAGACACTTACCAATGACTAATGATTAGGGTAGAGGGGAGCTGAGAAATAGCACAACAGATGGGCTACAGTCTGTAACTGTGCATCTATATAGTGAAGTTAATGTAGGTGGAGCTCATAATGTGAACAGAGAGTGGAAGCAGAAGGTAGGTGTTTTTCTAACAAAATGGACAAGAAGTACAGATCACCCATATCACCCATAAGGGCAAACAATGGGTGCATGTGTGACTAAGGTTTGTGAGTACCTGAGCCGCCTGCGGGGGGCGATCTGTTGATCCAGGTCTCTCTGCTGCCTCTCCTCCCTCGTCATGCACTTATAATTAGACGATAAGCCAAAGATGGGCCGCGACCATTCATCTACACACAAGCACATCCACACAGTTAGTACACATACTATATATACAGTATAACTACTATAACTGATAAAGCACTTTTCATTTTACTTACAAAATCTCAGGGCTTTACTCGGAAAAGAGCAACACATTGGAAAAACATTATGGTTTATATAAAAAGTAAATTATACTGTATATGAGGTGTTTGTACATACTGATGAGTTTGAGAGCGAGATCTTTGTTGGCCCGTGACTCTTTAGGATGTTTGTAAAGAAACATAACAGCTCGGCCGATTCCACTCATCTTCAGAGTCTCCTGGCTTACGCTTGGCAGCTGTAGTAAACACATACACAGTCAAGATTTCCTCTTGTGCCACATGCATGTATCTTTAATAATGCATGGTAATGAGTTACTAACTTGTTTAACAAGTATCACAAAAGGGATTTGTTGAAGTAATAGCAATATGGTATTTTTGTCCTCATCAATGCCTTTTACTGAGCAGCTTTAAGCCATATGGAGCAAATGTCTCAAGATTTACTCACCACATCACAGTAAAAGCAGTCAGAAGCAGAATGTATTAGTAAATATACATATAATAAGGCGCTCAGTTATAACTCCTTGCTAAAAATAACTAGAGCTGTCCCTACTAGGCTGACTAATTAGCTGTCAGTGTTTAAATACATTTTAATAAAGACTGATAGCTGTCTATATATATATCCACTCCTTCATTCAGGTGAATTATAGATCAACAATGGAAGCCATAGGAATGTAGTACAAATATTCTATTTTACTTAACGTTTTACTTAAGCTGTTTATTTAACATGCAGTCGTGCAACACAATAGGTATTAAAATGCAAAGTGGAGGTCACAAAAATGTCTAAGAGAATACGGTGTGAGGGTAAAAGTGTTCTAAGAAAAAGAAATGCAAATTCTGCCACTGGAGTTTTACTGTAAACGTGTAAAGCACACTCGATATTAACCGGCTATGCTTAAAGAATGAAATAAAAATTCAAATATAAAAAATTTAATTTAGTGAAATGAAAGTCAAATGAAAGCTTCCATTTAAAGAGCAAACTAAGTTTTAAGTTCTATCATCCAATGTTTTCTGATGTTAATGTTATAGTTAAAATAGTCAATGACTAACGCCACTGAACGTATTTGGACCTGAACTAGGAACTGTTTAAAAAAAATAAATAAAATAAAAAAGAAAAGACAGCTAATATAAAACCATGCACAGAAGCAAAAACTGCTTCTGACTGGTGCCTCACCTCCTGCAAGATCCTGAGTAGTTCTTCTCTGATCTTCAACGCCGGAAGACTTTTATCAGGCAGAGGACTGATCCACTCTTTTATCGCAGTCATCACACCACTGTCTATAAATGTCTCCTTCAGATCCTGCCTGAAGAAACACGAACACACACAAACCAATGCATAAACACACAAATATACTAGCTATTAGGTACTACCTTGTGTCCAGACTCACCAGACATCTTATCAGATTCAACTGGTGAAAGTGTGTCACTGAGATGCCTTTATAAAAAAGCCAACTGACAATATTATTGTCTGATTGCAGCTCTTAAGTTGCTGAAGTTGTTAGCATTGTAGCCTAGTAGGCTACAATAACAGCAGACTGTAGGCTAATGTAGCACAGTAAGTTTTACTAAACCTACAGAAAGAACAATGAAACTAAAGCAGGACCTACCACACCACACCAAGAACAAGAAGTTAGCTTAAAAGTATCTGAGCAGAAACCAGGCATATGTAGTTCCTCTGGTACATGCAGGCTTTTACCTGCCACACTGAAATGGATTACTGGAAAAGAGAAAAGTGCTGCAAATACTGATTGAGAGGCTTCTCAGTCGATATGTGTGACTTGTTTCTCCAATGCGTGCTGAAAATGTGCTCAGATGGTGTGCTGGTGGTGCATTCACATATTCGTGTGATATCCACTATATTAGGAAAGAGGTAAATACTCACCTGCCAACCCCCCAACCCACATCCCCTCTGGGTCACTACAGCATGCATGTCACCATAATCAATACCATCATCAATCAGTAATGGCTAAGTGGGGCGCAATCAGATGAACGTATACTGCACACGATCCTACAAGTGGTTGGTAAGAATCCTATGGAGGAAGATAAATTGTCTACTTGTGTCTCTACAAAAAGCTTCTATGTGGTAGACGTTTCTGATGAAATGGAGACGAAAGAGCAGGGACAAGTGACTTTAGGTCGACTTTAGGACCAGACACTCGTATACAAATTCAATCCGTCTGAGAACAAGAAAGCTGAAGAAAAGCTACTTACTTCTTTAAATGCATCACAACTGTGGGCAGAAGCATCAGCTTTTTCAGCGCCGGCTTCTTCTGACTGTTCAGTGTTCGATCCTCCTACACAAACACACACACACACACACACACACACACACACACACATTACATAATCTCTCTAAACATATGAGAGTTCAGATTCTTACTAAATGCATAATTCAACAGTGCCAATTTAACTGGTTCTGAAAAACAGAAGTTTTGCTGCACTGCTGGAAAGAAATACATTTTAATGAGTGAAGGGCTAACGCCCCAACACTGCTCCCTTCCACAAGCTGAAGGAAATGCACTCGAGTAAAAAATACTCACACGGAGGGATGTTTATCGTTAGGATTTTATCTATATAGATATTGATACAGACACTGCTTATTGTTACCTTTACTGATACTACTCTCCATAATTTGGGGCAAAAAGCAAAGACATGACGTTAAAAGATGTAAAAAGATTCAGAATGAAAAGGCTGTGTCATCTTCCTACAGATGAAAACATTAACAACCATAAGCAATACAAAATTAATTACCGCTGGTTGTCAGGATGGTTCACATTAAGTTTTAACCTGGGCTACCTAGCAGTTATTTATGCTATGCTATACTAGATACTGAGTTTTAATTTAGTACAGACTCAGCTAAACATTAAGGTTTCCTGCTAATAAGCTGATTTAGGGTCTCAAAATATCCTAATTACTCCTTTATTGCTGGAAACATTTTCTGATAAGGACAATTAGACTATCAAACTTTTCTGCCTGTAGTTTTAATACAAGGCTAAAGTTGGCTTCCTATCCGCCAGCTTCTTGTTTGAAGCTTCCCAGTCCACCTTAAACGGTGCAGCAGTTATTATAACGCCTGAGGTGCCAGCATGCAACTGCTGCACCATTTAACAAGAAGCTAACGGACAGGAAGTTGACTTTCGCCTCTTAGTTTTAACGCTGAAAGCATTTTTGATAGATCCTAGAATTTTATGTAGGAAACTTATAAATATGCAGTACAGTAAGCCATATCGACAAGACAGCACACATCATCACAAGATGTAGGTGCAGCAACCGCTTTGCTAAAGCAAACATGCTGCACTGCTTCAGATTTTTACACAATATTGTATTAAATGATGTGGCGGCTTAATTATGCCCTAACAAAATCACACAAAAACTTTCAGAATCTGATTTAAACGGCAAATCACCAGTAGGTCCAGTAACTTCTAAATAGACAAACTGCATCAAATATGCAGAGGCCCTAAAATCTGGAACTATCTGCAGTCTTCGTCAGTGATCAGACATGTTTCATGCAACACATTCGATTACTCCAGATGTTACTAAAATTAGTAGTACATTTATATATATCAAATCAAATCCTATTCTCCAAACGAATCACATCTCTGGGCACAACTAGAAAGTTAAAATTAGCTATGTAGACTGCAGTAGCATCTTGCTAACAAAGCACAGCAAATGCTGTACAAGCAGCTATTTAAACACTATGGCAATGTCTGGGTGGCTCACTAGCCAGTTACGCTAGCTGGTTCCCAGCAAATAAGCAACGTCCTAGTGACCATGATGTTATACGGTATGCCATCATAGTTTTGACTGGCTGTTTCAGTAAACTTACTGTACAAGGCTGATGACCGGTTTGGGTTTCAAATGAGTTTAAAAGGAGCTGCAAGAGGCTTTCCATTATACAAAGTGAAACTGTAGTTGTTAAAGTTTCATCATGTAAAGCACACGTGTCAGGATCCAGTCCTTGTGGGCCAAACCACTGCGGACTTCAGCACACTGCCTCATTAAAACACACCTGATTCAGCTCATCAGCTAATTAGCAAGGTCTTCATGAACTGAATTCAGAGTGTTAGATAAGGGAAACTCTAATCTCCGCAGCACTTTGGCCCGGACGTCCCCCAGTCTGACGTGCCTGATGTAAAGACGGCCTTTATCCCAAACACATGCACACACCTCTGCAGCCTCAGTCATTTTGGTGATCATGGCGCTGACCACATCGTCTGCGTCGCTGATGAACGTTCCTCCATCTCGATGCCGTCTGCGTTTGCCGCTCTGAGCTTTCTTACGGGCCAGCATCATGTCAAAGTCAGACATGAACGATGTGCTGAAACATACATATACACACAGTACTGGTTTAGACATTTACCCTTCAGCCTTCTATTGATAGACAATATATACGACATTCATGAATCCTCTCTAAAGTAGCTTGAAAGTAGGGGTGGGCAATGTGGCAAAATCATATCACGATACTTAGACATTTTGACAATCATAATATTTTTACACACAGGCATCAAGCATTCAAAAACTCAATACAACAGTTTTTAGTTTGTAGTATTACTTAGAAATAGCTTTATTCAATATTTCACACACTATGCTGCACTAAATCCAATTAAACCTGAATAGTTATGCTTTCTTTGCAATGAAACATGCAGTTGATCAGTATTCTTTAAGTACTAACACTATTCATACGCAGACAAGCTTAACGCGTATCATGATAATATTTATCACAATTTTAAAATAGTCATATTAACCACTTTTACTTAAAAGACTGATTTATCAAATGAGAAGAACCATAATCTGATTAGCTACGTAGGTGTTAGTACAGTGGTTAGTACTCTAAAGCCTAGAAGTGTAAAAATGCACAGTGGTGCACTGATCTGAGGGTGGTGCAACAGATTTTTAATGTTAGGATTAGTTGTAATAATTTTCTATACAGTAAGCACTCATTTTTTGGAAAAAATAAAATGGGTTTTTGTATTTATATTTGTATCCACTGCTGTGTTAAAAGCTCCTCCAGTCAATTTCATGTATTCAGTGTCATTTTTAAAAATAATTCTGAATAATACTAATATAATTAAATCGAGCTAAATTTTAGATCATGTACTGAATCGCTTCCTAAAGGAGCACCGGCAATCAACTTCACCTTTTTAGGTCAGAGATTTACATCCCTACTAGTAAAAGTTTAAATTCTCACTCTTTTCCTCCTCTGTCCACATCGTCGTCTGAGTCAGAGTCATCAGCTGCTTCTTTGTGTCCCCCAGCCTTAGACTGCTGCTTGTCTCCTTCCAACTCCTCCTGGTTAAAGCCCTGTTCAAATCAACACATACACGTGAGATAAAGTTAGTCAAGAGAAGATAAAAATGCAAGTAAATGACACAAACTTTAAGGAACTAAAAATTCCAGTAATATCAGCCAGTGTAGTTTAACACAGTTAAAAACTGATTTGTTTTTGACACAACTGTTCAGTTTTAAACTAAATTGTGGCACTAAGGGCTTCCCATAATTATTTTACTGTAAATTAGCTCATCTTCTTATTTTTCAGAATTTTCTCCTTACAGAAAAACTTCTTGCGAGCTGGTGGTGATAAGCTTGGCCCTCTCTATAAAGTGTGTAACTGACTGCAAGATGTCAATATACTGCTAGAAACAGGTGCACTATGAGATAGCAGGGTCTCACCGTAAACTCCTCTTCTTCCTCATCTCCCGACTCTCCGAAGATGTCTGCTATCATTTTCCTGTGGGGCAGAGATCGCATGGGTTACATTTGGACATAAACATAGCAGGGGTCAACTTTAACGACTGTCCGCCAAAATGCTAAGCCGGGACACTTCAGTTTTCTGTGACAAACTAAAGGTGTTGGTTGTCGCAGCACTCGAGAACTTAGGGGATTGAGTGTCTTTTAGTTATAACGATAAGTGTTACTTGAACACTTCAGACACAGATTTCAAGTCTGGAGCAACGACATAACTGCTATAACCAAGTTCACCCCTGATGATGTGATGTTACAGTACTACTTTTTTCCCCCTCATCATTATTAGACATTATTGGACACTTTCTGTTGCTTTCTGACCCCCAGTTGTGGGCGTAACTCTGATGATGATGCAGAGAAACGTGTTTTAAGTGTCTTATTGAATTTGTTGTTCCAAACGTTTTTGGAGTTGTTCCTCCACGGCTTACTTTGGCCTTGCATGTACTGTAAATTGCGATCTAGTTGATGTCTTGACGTCTACACTGATGACATGTTGTGCGTGTCTGGCTGTGTCTGTGCCACTGTTGCATGATGTGACTATCGTGAGGCGCATTCGCGCGAGTTTGACCTGAAAACCGGCTTATTGATCGGTGCATCTTTACTTGTACCTCAAGGCATAATTCAAACTGACAGCAAACAACAAAGCAATAGATTCCCTCGCAGAAAAATCAGTTTCCATAGGTCGATTCTGATCATAAAACTAGTTACAGCCATATGAATACTTAAGATTCACAATTTAACTTTTCTTATTCTTTGCCTGCAACTATTGAAGAACAAGTCTAAAAAGGCCAAATCGGACAATTAGCCATCTTCTTTCCTTCCTTCCATAAATATTTCATGCACCGCCATCCAAATTTGTTAGAGCAGAGTTAGACGTTAGAACGTTCCTTATTTTCGAGTCCCACAATGTGTCTCAATGAACACAGTTACTGCTTTCTTCTAAATTGACATTTATTTGACTCAAGTCAATGCATCCAATACACATTTTGTTTGTTGTGGCATAATATAACTGTGAAATATAAGGAATGTAGAAAATTACTGTGATCATCTCAAATAACTGCAATTTTATAATAATATGATGTTATATTCATCAAATAAATAGTAATTGTACATTAATGTGTAGAAGTCTGTTCTCTGTAGGGTATGTGTAACTTATTGTAATGTAGAAAATCAACTACATGAGAAAGAAAAGAGAGAACAGCTCCACTTACTCTTCCTCATTGTTGTCTGAGTCGCTGTCGCTGCCGAACAGTGTTTTCTCGTCTTTTTTCCCTGTGTCCATCTTCAACCGGTCATCTTCTTCCTCACTGTCTGAGCCCAGCTCTCTCAGTTTTGCTGCGATAGTTTTATCTGGAGCCTCTGAGCCTTCATCACTATCAGAGTCATCATCTGACACTGCTCTGCTCTTCTTTACAGCTTAGGAGAGAACAAGTCATCAGAATCCCATCACAGGATCAGTGCGTTTGGGTTGAATTAACAAATGTGCATTTTACCATTTCTGCCATACAAACATCTGCATTTTTAAAAGAATTGTATTCAAATATACTGAAGAGAAAAATGTTAGACTTAGATGAACATAGTTCTATTCAATCTGTTAGTTTTTATTTGAAATATTTACAAAATTAGCAGTCTTTTCATATGTGTGCGTATCTTTATATTCAAAATATCCCAGACCCTTGTTGAAACAGAGATTTTTACCTTTTGTTTCTTCCTCATCCTCACTGTCGGAAAGAATGGCCTTCTTCCTCTTCACTGCAATCACAGAGATTGTACAGCTTAACATAAAATCTCTAACAATCAAACAGTTGAAAGAAACTCACAAATCCAAATAAAAATTCAGTCAAATTAGAAATTTTACAATAGAAAGACAGAAGCCTGGGGTCAATATTAGACTCGAACATTCATAGAGTGTAGGGGTGCGGGAAAAAATCAATTCTTAGACACATCGTGATGCGGTTGTGGACGATTCTGAATCGATTCACAAAAGTCAAAAATCGATTTTCTAAATATTTAATTTAAAGCGTAATGTTGACGGAACACAAAAGGCGGAACTTGGAAGTGGGTAAGTGCAGCGCCCGGACAGTCTGTGGCGGCACATAACAAAAACACAACTGGATGAGTGAGAAATCCAACCGACTCCCTCTGCATTAAAGCCAGGTTAGATCAGGAGTCACAACACAAATGATAAGAAGAGCCATTTTGTCCTTTGACGTCCATCACCACTGGATCTTATGTTACCCTAACAGCGCATTTTATCACAGATGAGTAGCAGCAGCTTCTCGTTCTCCAAACAAGAGCACTGAATGAGAGACTTCTAGTTCACCTGCCACATCACTTCCATTTGATTTATTAAAAAAGATATTGGAAGTAAATTCATTATGGATCATTACAAATACTTTGCTTTAAAAGTACCAAGTCACTTTAAATAACAATAACACAGAATCACTTAGTCACTTTAAAATGTATATTCTGTGTATATTTTGTGTATATTTAATATATTTCAGTTGGTTTTTCTTGTATTTTTATTTTTACTCATTTACTTTCTGTAGAGTGATTATCTGAGCCTCACCACAAGCATTTCAATGCATAAATGTCCTGACATGACAAATAAACTTGAAACTGGAGCTCACACAGTGAGAAAATATAAATGCTATATAGAAAAAAAAAGATGCATCGATAATCATTTTATAATCGCATCGCAGCCTCTGAATCGTAATCAAATCGAATTGTGAGGTGCCTAGAGATTCCCACCCCTAATAGAGTGAGCCAAAAAAATTAATAATCACCAGGCAATAGAAAAAATACACTCTAAAAAAACACATGCGGTCAGCTTAAAAGTCGGGCACTACAAGAATTGTACATAAAGTGGCTTCTTTTCTTCTGTTGCAGTAGAAACTGCTCATCATACAGCTGGACCCTGCCACAAAGCCTTGTCACTGTGACAGAGCAAAGAGAGAATTAAGAATAACGGTTCAATTAGTCATTTAATCAAATAACAGTCAAAAGAGAGGGCAAGGGGGAAAACTTGGCCTCTTTTCCCACTGTAAAGCCAAATCTCTCCCAGGGCCGTATTGTGCCATCCCACAATGGTGAAGCTGTTTATGTTTCTTTTTAATCTACTGTGCTTCCAAATTGAGACCAGAAAACACCAAAGAAAAACTACACTAGAATGTCTCACTCTTGGACCAGGACCAGGAAATACTGAAGAAAAACTACACACAAGAGTGGCTCAGTGAGGGTTAGCAGGCTCATAGCTCCACACACCACAGAACAGGTTCATTTCCAGCTGTCACTCCAACCAGTCTCTCAACTTTGTGTTGAGATGTGAGTTTTTATCTTCTAAACGCCTGCGTGTGTGACCATCGGTTAACTGGAAACAAGCCTGTACTGTGGTGGGTGCGACTTTTAGCCCGCTACCTACGCCAGCATTAATGTAGCCCAGGAGGGTCCAGCTCCAAACACAACAAAACAATTCCATTTCCAGTAGAGTTCTTATCCTCTACTGTGGTCAGCGGCACCTTGAGCCTGCCGACTACCACTCCACCTCTTATTTGACTTTGCTGTATCAGACATGAGCTTTTATCTTCTACAGCTGTAACAGCTGAGCACCTGTCAGTCGGAATCGAACCTGTGTTGTGATGTTTGGATCTGCAGACCAGTAGCTAAGCTGTAATGCTGCTATCTAGAGGAGAGCTTCTCTGCTCCTAGTTACCAGCACTGCTTAATATTTAGCAGCTGTTGTCAGACTCAACATTTACTGAATGGTGAATTAAAAGTCAGGCATTGCTTTTATTTATTTGGCGAACTAAGCTTATCTGATTGTTCTCGGTTTTAAAAGGCTCTGATAAGCGAATAGCTATGCTATAAAGTCACCCAACGGAGCGGATCAGCGGCTCTGAGCAGGGACTGTATCACATGATCAGACTTTGATGGTGTAGCGGAGGATTGTAAGCACAGAGCTGATGCATGTCTTTACCACAGCGACAGTATTTCAAAGCATTTGCCCCCACCAAAATATCTGTCAATTTACTCTAATTATAGATTACTGACATTTGTCAAAACTATCTATGTATAGAGACTTCTCCATGACACTAGGGGGCAGCCTGCATTCTGATGTGCATTTTCATGCAATGCAATGCGCAACTGAAAGCACAGCAGTATTATGCTAGTAGCACAGTCTCTACTCTGCTAGCAATGGAAACAGATTTTTAAAAACTCTACCAAGCCCAAAGCAGCCAAGGAGAGGACTGGATCAGATGCTGACTCTGCTATGGGTTACTACAAGGAATTGCTTGTTGGTGTACTGAACAAAACCATATTCAAGAAATCTATGATTGGTTTCAGGCAAGACTGAACAATGTTCTTGGCTCTAGAACACACGCTAAAGCAGACCTGGCATTTGTCCGTTGTCACTACGGATTTCCCAAAGAAGAGACGGGTGAAGAGCTGTCCCTCTTCAACGCGATGCCATCAGAAGAAACTGGCTTCAATCAACGACTAGCATTTTTTAAAGCGTCAAATCTGGTCGATAGTTAAGTGAACATCAGTGACCTCTTAAATGCTCCTAACTGTCACTTTTCATGCTTAAATCCATCAAAAACGGACGACAAACACTACGAGACAGAAGAGACTGTCTGACTTCGCAGTGCTGAATACTGAACAGGCCATTAATGTAGACTTGGAAAAAACAGTCAGTGCATTTGATGCCAGGCCTGGTGGGCGCAGTCCTGCACCTCACTAAGGTAGGACATTGTCTATACTTTGATAAATATAGGTTTTATACTTACTGCCCCCCCCTGACATTACAATATGTGTTTAAAATTGCAGCTGAATTAACAAATATCAGTAACATGTCTACTAACAAGCTCGGACTGCTTCAAATGGCCATGCTTTTCAGTAGAGCTTGTTTAAGTAATGTTACACCCTGTGTGAGAAGTGAACACCACCATTAGCTCGCTGCTAACAAACCCAGGAGCGCTAGTAGAAATCAGCATTATCATAGCGGTGTTGCTCAGGCTACTTATAAAGCGAAGATTTCCACAGTAAACACTGCTTTATATTGACATGCGCAGCTGTGATAATCAAAATAATCACTGGACTACTTAATTATTCATTTATTGGACAGCGACAGACCTCCTTTTTTTGTGCGCATCACGTGAGCATACCTGGCTTGTCCTCTTCTTCATCGTCGCTGTCAGCTAGAGTCTGTCGAGGACGTTCTTCATCCTGATCACTTCCTACGTCTTCTTTAGGCTTCCTTTCCTCCTCTTCCTCACTGTCTGAGTTAATCACTGCTTTCCTTCCTCGCTCCTCTTTCGTCCTCCTTTCTCTCTTCTCCATCCTCTCCTTCAGAATCTCTCCGCGTGCTCCGTTTGGCTTTCTCTTCATCTGATTCGCTGCCTGAGTCTGAGCTCCGCCTCCTCCTCCGAGGCTCCTCGTCCGAATCGCTGGCCTGAGCTTTTTGCTGCTCTTCTGTTTCTGAAGTGCTCCCCCTGCGTTTGGGCGGAGAACTTTCATCATCATCGTCACTGTCGGCAGGGCGGGGGCGTTCCGGCTCTGAATCGCTGGCTCCACCACCACCCTCATGTTCTGATCCGCTGTCGGCAGCAGGGGGCGCTGCGTCTTCTCTATCACTGCCTTCATCCTGCCAATCATAAACACAAAAGCATTAGGCCAGTAAAAATACCACCAGCAAATATGCAAACACAAATGACAGTGTATACTCAAAGCATAGACAGTGTGTGGTCTTCTGCTCCCATCATCACCAACACTGTGAACAATTCACACCCAACAAATTTCTCAGGAATGGGACGTTTTACATCAAACCACTCAAAATGACTGTTTATATTGTAACCAATTATTTATGCACACATTTTAATAAATTACTTCTCCTTTAAAATAGCAAACAAGCTGATAACCAAGCAAAACAGTAGCACTAGAGCTGGGCGATATGGCCAAAAATGTTATCACGATAAACAAAATTCATATCGATACATATCGCGATAAACGTCAAATCATTATTTCTTTCAAGTTTGAAGGCTGATTTTTGCTCCTGGGTGGTTGTTGTTTTACCCGATTTTCTCCCCAATTCAGTCGTCGCCAATTCCACCCGCTAGTTAGGACTTCGCCAATCACACGATACTATCAGCGCTAGGAGGGTGAAGGCTAACACAGGCTTCCTCCGAGACCCTAAAGCGCCACCGCTTCTTTTTGAACTGCCGCTCACGCAACGTCATTGGACAGCTGAGCGCGCTCGGAAGAAAGTGCCAACCGCCAGATCTGTTACGTCAGGCTAACAGACGCCTGCGGACCCCGGCTACGGACGGCTGTAGCATCACCAGGGATCGAACTCGCGTTCTCCTGATGACAGGGCCAACGCTTAGACGGCTGCGCCACCCGGGAACCCGTTAATTTTTTCTAAGTTTCTGGTGAGCTGTTTTTATCAGCTGGAAAAGCACAGCCGCAGTTTTGTAATAGTAATAATTTAAGAAAGAAAAGATTATTTTAGCTGTCTGGTGTCGAGCGCTCGGCTATCCCGTTACAAATGCTAAACAAGTGGCCAACAACAGAGCTAAACTGTTTAGTTTCTCAACAACGTCAACTTAGTACAAACAGCAAACTTTAGCTGGCTCGGTAGGTCAGTGATGGATCACACCGCCTCACTGCCATCACTCCACCACATCAGAGCATATCACAGTATTCAGACACCAGCTAGCGACGACTGGGGTTCTCTATTCTATCGTAGTAGTTTAAGGAGTGAACCACAATATATCAACACCAGACAAACAGAGTCCTCCTTTTAGGTACGATTTAAACTGAAAGTGGTGCTTTTGTGTCGTGTTTGATCTACAGTATCATCAATTCTCCGTGCTGTGTGAGTGACGGAGCTGCTTCAAGTTAGCCAGCTGCTAAAAACAGCTAGCCTGGAAAGATAGCGCTCTCCCGCTCTCCAATGCCTCACAGCTTCCTCAGTTTACTTTCGTTTAAATCAGGGCTGTAATTAACATGAACCCACTTCTTTCTTTCACTTTCGTTGCTTGGGAATGCACTAATACTAAATATGACTGAGCGCTGTAACAGTGCTGTAGTTGTGAGGATCAGACATGATTTAAGGCTGCAAAAGCTGGTTAGGATGTACGGAAAGAGGTGAGTTGCTGTAGGACAGTACAGTTACGCCACTGACCTCGTCACTCAGACTCGGTCACAGGAGAGCAGATCGCCGCTCGCTCCACTCAAACAGGGAACGTATAACTCCATGTTACAGACGTTGCTAAAGTACATTTGGCCACTCATTTTACTCGTCGCCCCCTCCCTCTCTAATCATGTCAAAAAACTCGGAAGTGTGCCCTCTCCTGGCGACAGCAGAGTAGTGCCGCTTTCCTTGCAGTAGAAAATGCCACCAGGGCTTTCGCTGAACGTGGAAGTGTGAGAATGGTGTATTATATCGAACATTTATCGAACACGTCGTATCGCTCTATCAAGGAAAAAAGTTATATCACGATAATTATCGTTATCGTTTTATCGCCCAGCCCTAAATAGCACTATACTTTTTTAAAAAGCTGTGTAATACTATTTTTTTTTTTTAAATGTTTACATATTTTTAAAGGAACATGCAGTTATCCAGTTAAAAATAAAACATAACAAAAATATGTTATGTTTCAAGAGTGTGTGCCGCTTTACTTGTTGTGCAGGTGAAAAAGAAAACCCTAAAATTAAGGTGCGTGAACCACCCTGAAGGAAAACAGTCTCTCTTGACCAATAATTAATAATCTAAGCAGGCTGACTAAAACCGTCTTGGTTGAGTACACCATCCCTGCTTTAGGTCATAATGCTGATAATGAGGGAGGACATAACCAGCTTCTCCCTTTAAATCAAAGTGCTTACAAAGGAAATTCACCAATTTACCAAAGTTCCTGCATAACAATCATTAAGATGTAAACAAAATAACTGAGTTATTCTATTAGCAACAGCTAAAATACACATGCTCACATTTCAAAAGTGTGTGCTGCTTTAGTTTTTGCACCCTAAATGGAAGGTGTGTGAATCACTCTGAAGGGAAAGCTTTTTCAGTTTTTCTTGTCCAAACTTTGCGGCCGTTATATCAGCTACAGCTTTACCTCAAAATGCTCTTTTGGATGCATGAAAAATTATTCTGGAGTTTGATTCTAACTTTGACACCGAGAGCAAAAAGCTTCTAGCGACCCTGCAGAGATAAAAAAAGGTTAAAGGGTCAAAGATCTGTGTTTTTAACCTCAGACTGGTGCGACCCTCCTCTCATTTCCTCCTCAGCATCTGACCCTGCATTCTCGTCCTGCACAGGAGTGGCACTGCCATCATCTACAGGAACACAGAGAAGGGTAAACACACAAACAACAACACAACAATCTCCAGACACACGCAGATACAACATATTCAGAATTAAATATTATAGCTAACCAGTCCCACTTTAGGTTAATCAGCATGACAACAGTAGATAACAGTCCAAATATCACAATACAGTTAATTAAAGCTGAAGTATTGTCAAGTCAAGTCAAATTTATTTGTATAGCACTTTTTACAACTGATGTTGTCACAAAGCAGCTTCACAGAAATACATTTAGGACAAAGTTTCAACATGAAATGTAGATCCTCCAGGTGAGCAAGCCAGGAAAAACTCCCTCAGAGCTGAGGAAAAAACCTTGGGAGGAACCAAGGCTCACAAGGGGGGGGCCATCCTCCTCTGGTCAAACTACCTACAAAATTATTATACTACTAATATTAATAGTAGTAGTAATAGTAATATGCATGAACATCTGTCAGGAAAAAGGTCTGTTTGATTAATAGCTCACAAATGTGGTGCAACACAATACTTCTCAGTGGTAGTGATAATAAAACCAAATGTGTCATGCCTCTGAAAGCGACCTCACAAAGTTATTACAGGAAATGTATAACAAATCTAAATATCTGTCCACCATGGACATTCTTTAAGGAATGTACAGACGCTCATATCGATTCCAATATCATTGTGCATCCTTAAAATTAGACCTGGATGATTTGGCCATGCAATATCACATTACTTCAGGACGTTTTCGCGATACACAAGATCACAATCTTCACTGTTTGATGTCTGACAAGTTGTAACAGACAAGTAAAGTCACATTAGGAATTCTATCAAAGATTCATGCTTAACATGTCACATGTTGTGCTGCAGTACTTCTAATAAAACAGGACTAATGTTAACTACACTCTCTTTCTATTCAAACATGCAGTTTGGAAGTGTTTTAAGTACTGACCATGTTCACGATACGCTCAGAACAGCTTAAGGTAACATATTGTGATGTTATTAATCACGATTACGATAAATACTGTCTAATTGCCCAACACTACCTTTTGTTGGAGACAACGCAACCCCTGGTTTGTATCGTAAAGAACTGTACAGAAAATTAGACTCGGTGAATTTCTCTACAATGTACCATTTCAGGTCGAATCACTTTGAACGGCTTTGTTTACATCTCACCGGCAGAAAGTTAAAGACGTTAGCTAACTACGGAAAACGGCGGAATTCCCCTTGAACCAAGTGCACCCGTGTTAGCTAACGTTGGCTAGCTGGAAAACCATCAGTACTCAGCCGTTTAAGTTCACATAAGAAAAATATTCACAGTACGGTTTACATGTAATACTCAAATTAAGTCCCACAGGTGATCAGGGCTACAACCGAACCCCTTTGTCTCAGCTGTGTGACTTAAATACTAAAATACTAATACCAGCCAGGTTAAATACAAGGCTAGCTAACGTTACCTGAGTGACTCCCTGAAAAGACTTCATCCTCACCGTCCATTTGTGGCTCTGAAGGGACGGTTGCTCACCTTTACAGAGAAATTATGGCAGAATTTTGAGGAAATAACCGACCGTATTAAGGAAAAATAGAAATTACAGCCGGACAGCAGCGCTGGGCGCCGGTAGCAGTTAGCCGTGTTTTTAGCCCTCTAACTCCACAGAAACAGGCAGTTACAAAGGATTTATCCACGACGATTTATCCACGACCATCCTATATAAGCTACACACGCGTTATTTCGTCTGAAAATCACCACGAATTCTCATAGTGTGGCTGTTTTGTCGTAGTAGCTCTAAATGCTACAGCCGCAGCTTCGCCACCAAAATGGAGCCTCGAGGTGGTCATGGCGCCTGCGCGAAACCGCGCGCGAAAATTACGTCACGTTCTTGTTTACGTGTTTATTTCAGGGATACTTTTATTCGTTCATCCTCAGCTTCGCGAGCACCAATACATTCGGAGATTTACTTAAAAACGTGAACATGTAAAGAAATGCACACATTTCACATTAAAAAAAAACTGAGTAAGTGAATAAGTGATGAATCCCAATCTCCTTTCCCAAACAGAAAAACTGATATGTGGCAAATATATGGATTTTAAATATGTGATACATTTCCTTCATATCTAACTGGAATTTGTCACATATGCCAACTTTTTTTAAATTAATGATCCATATTTGGAATATGGATCATATATTTCAGCCATTTATCTGCTAACACTAACATAAGTGTATGACATATATTAATCATATACAGTTGATTTTATATATATATATATGGTGCACGTCTGGTGCGTTTTTATTTACATATATATATATATAAATATATATATATATATATATATATATATATATATATATATATATATATATATATATTGATCAGGCATAACATTATGACCACCTCCTTGTTTCTATGCTCATTGTCCATTTTATCAGCTCCACTTACTATATAGGTGCACTTTGTAGTTCCCCCTTTTAGCCTGTTCTTCAGTGGTCAGGATCCCCATGGACCCTCACAGAGCAGGTACTATTTGGGTGGTGGATCATTCTCAGCAATGCAGTAACACTGACGTGGTGGTGGTGTGTTAGTGTGTGTTGCGCTGGTCTGAGTAGATCAGACACAGCAGTGCTGCTGGAGTTTTTAAACATCTCAGTGTCACTGCTGGACTGAGAATAGTCCACCAACCAAAAATATCCAGCCAACAGCAAGATGGACTGACAAGGTAGGAGTGTCTAATAGAGTGGACAGTGAGTGGACACAGTGCTTAAAAACTCCAGCAGCACTGCTGTGTCTGATCCACTCGTACCAGCGCAACACACACTGTCAGTGTTACTGCAGTGCTGAGAATGATCCAAATAGTACCTGCACTGTATATATATATACATATATATATATATATATATATATATATATATATATATATATAAATACATAGCCCATATGTTAATATTTGATATATATATAGCCCTGCGATGGACTGGCGACCTGTCCAGAGTGTATCCTGCCTTCCACCCAGTGTCAGCTGGGATAGGCTCCAGCACCCCATTACAACCCAGAAGGATAAGCGGTTTAGATGATGTATGTATGTATGTATGTATATATATTGCCAATATGTTAATATTTGATATGTACCCTATGTAAGTATATGCCTGACTGATTGTAAAAAAAAATTCTAAAACTGGATGAATACAGCAGAACACTAGCTGAGGGGGATAAAAACCAGGAGAATTTGCAAGTAGAATTCCATGCAATGCACATGGGGAACCTTGGGGGGAAGAAGCCAACACAGTACCAATCAGAATCCTTTGTGCTCCAGTTTATTGCCTTCAACTAAAAATATTTTATTTGTGCACTTTCTTGAAACATACTTTGATTTTCAGTTGCAGTATAAAAAAAAAAAACACTTCAGCCACATAAATCTAACTTCTAAGCATGTTTAATTAGGTTAAGAACAGCCTCTCTAGTTTTTTTTTTTTCTGGTACATTTGAGGAGAGCGGCATGTCTCCAATGTTCCCTGAGATTAAGAACCACTGAAGTACCTGCGTCAGCCTGGGTGACCACTTACAGAGTTCAACTTTAAACTGTAGGATAACTGCTGTGGGAGGTTTTTCTACCCTTGAGAGGTCAGAGAAGCAGTAAAGTCTTACTTTATGAACTTGCTTCTCTCTCAAGACATCCTGAGGAAGAAAAATAATAATAGATATAGCTATACATCATTTTTAATACAGTAACGTAAGAAGCATGTGGATTACAGAAAACAAAACTCCATAACTGGGTGTATATAAAGAATAACAGAGGACCAAGAACTGATCCCTGGGGAACACCTTTCTTGCCACCTTCTAGATTTAAGCTAAACTACACCCCATTTGGACAGTTTAAACATATGCGGTCATCACCAGCAGCAGTCTAGCGGATGAGGACCGAGGACAGGGTTGTAACATAAGGTAAGCTGTAACACTCTCAGTGCCACCACTCAGAGATAAGCCACATGGGCAGTGTACTGTACATGCCCACTACCCTACCAAGCTGACAGGAGCAAGTGAAAGACAGGCTAAACACTAAAATATTTAAGCAACAAAAAAAAACCACATACATTTTTTAGGTAAAAAAAGTAAAAATTCATGTCTGGATTATAATTTTTTATTAGCACTTATTTTAATGGAGGTTCTAACCGATATGGCCTAAACCAACGATTTCTCTAAGGTATATAGGCTAATTCAGATATAGGCTTGATTTTTCTGTTTCGAGAAATGCACTAGACAAAAATACTGGTATAAATAAAGTTAAATAAAGTAGAATAAGACAAAACAACTCTTCTTGACACAAACTTCCTCTTTTTTTTGAGCAACCAATAGATTTGTACTCTATTGTCATGTCAAACAGATAAATATAAGTGTTTTACATAAAAGTTTGAAAGGTCTAAAGCAATTCGTATCTCTGAGTTATAGAAACTAAGACAGTCTTCCCTGATTTCCCCTACATGGAAAATAGCAGTGGGCCAGTGATGGATCCTTGGGGAACACCAAAGGTCATAAAAAGGCATTTTCCTCACTACTTTTCAGATTAAACTTCACAGCACCTTGGCTAAACTGCATAGCAGCTTCTATATGCGAGCAGATGTGGCCTGAAGACAGAGAGTACTTGCACTTGCACTAAGGACTTTAGGAAGTACCAGGAAGTAGTAGCACATGTACCATGTGGACTTATACAGGGTTCAGATCACTGTGCTTGAACTGCTTGTTCCAGCGCTTTTGCTGGAAGTGGGAGCAGGGATGATGGTCTTTAGATTAGTGGTGTTAGCATGGTGGACACAGCAGTCAGTCTCGTTCTTAAGGCGGCCTGCAGTTGTTGAAGTGATTATTTAATTGGTCAGTAACAACCAAGGTTATTTCAGGTTTTATGCAGCAGAACGATTGAGCGATTGCTTGTGTGCTGAACGAGGGCTGTTCAGTCTGTCAAGCTGATTGCTGAGGGAGTTGTTGATGGCCTGCAATTTGTGTCCAGCTGTAATCCATGCCAACACTGCATTTTTTTGCTGGGATGAAATCAGTTTCTTAATAATTAGTTATATATTTGACTTTGATTTGATTATGATTCAATAAATTGTAAACGCTTAATTTTGTGATTATTCGGGGACTATTTGGTACAATTATTTTTACACACTACATATACAAATATGACTGGAGGAGCTGTTTACACAGTATTGGAATATAGGCAATAAAACAATACAAGAATTTTAATTTTGACATTGGAAAACGAGCTCATATGTTCAATATTATACAATATTATTCTGTACTTTTATAATCAATTCTAACACTTGAAAATCAGTGCAGTTGAAACACTTTCAGATCACCTTCACATCGATGCTTCCCTTGATGTACTTTTAAACCCCTAGAAATAAGATGTGGTGAGAAGAAGCAAAGGAGATGAAATAAAGAAGAGTCTGTAATAAAAGATGTGTGCAGATCAAATGTATTTCTGTGGGCTTTTCTCTGTGCAAACTGTTTTTTTTAATCTCATGAAGGTCGGTGCATTATTGAATAAACTATTTCAGCGCAGCTTTCTCTTTCTTTCAGAATAGCATTAGATACAAATTTAAACCAAGGACTTGAATTATTAGAGAAGAGGATAAATGCTTTATTTTAGGCCTTTTACTGTCCATGTTCAGCATGGCTTAGTAAAACCTACAATCAATAATGCTAACTAATTCAAACAGCACATGATTCGTCCTTCCCGTGATTTGTCCTCTGGTGAAACATTCCAGTCAAAAAAACAGGACTGAGACTTTTGCTAAGCTGAAGAAACAAGGTTGTGAAGCTCATTGGCGCTCCATTCAATCACTTCACCAATTAGCTTTTATCAATTGTTTAGTATTTGTACAATTATTTGATCACTTGTTTAGTATTTGGAGATTTGTGTCAGTCTAAAAAATGTGTTACATTCATTGTGTTAGAAAGCAAAATGTCAAATCAAGTGGCATTTTAAACAGATCATTTCTTTTTGACAAAGTTTCTCAAAATAATTACATTTCTCAAAACAATTAGTCTTAATTGTTTAATTAGACAGCATCCTAAAATAATGGCTAATTTTTGTAAAATATTGACTTACTATGTCCAAATAATGATTGACTATGTCAAAAAAAATGACTTAGTATCTCATAATGACATCCCAAAATGATTACTTTCTTAAAATTTGATTTATTATTTTAACACAATATTTCAAAATCTCAAGAAAATAAGTCATTTCAAGATTCCAGGTCAATAAGTCAGAAAGAACAAGTCATTTGTTTGAGATATTAAGGGAATATTTTGAAATACAAAGTCAATATTTTGAAAAATAATTAGCAGTTATTTTTATAAAAACTAAGTTGATATTTTAAGAAGGTTAGTCATTTTGCGAAACTAAATCAACATTTTGAAATGTTAGTAATTATTTTCAGATACTCCAACAATATTTTGAGACAGTAAGTAATTATTTTTGAGATACAAAGTCCATATATGAGAAACTGCTGCCAAAATCAAAGAAAGAGTAAAAAAAATAAGCAACACCATTGCAAGAAAAACAGCCCCAGACTTTTCGACCTCTACAGTACTTTACAGCAGCCTCAGTCCAGTCTGGCTGGAATTCTTCTCCAGGTTTTCTCCACACAGAGAGTCCACCATCAGTTTGATGCTGTGATGTTTTTCTCTAAAGCAAATATCATTTTGCTAAACATTTTGTGATAGAAGGACTTCATTAAAGTTTACCAGGTTCAGTGGTAAAAGTGTCCAAATACTTTTAGGCGCCATTGCAAATATCAATAAATCTCTCCCACTTTTAGTGTTTTAGATAAATGTCTGTTTAGATGGGCT